AGAGAGTGCAAGTCTTACTTTACAGATAAGGAAACAGTCTATGAAAGGTTAAATGATTTGCCCATCGTTACACAGCTGTTAAATATCTAAGACAGGATTTGAACCCAAGTGTCATAACTCCAAATCCTGTAGGATGCCTCTTAATTTGGCCCTACCTTTGGGTAGTATAATAGAGGGAAATGGAAGAATACTGGACTCCCACTATACACTCCTGAAGACCTGGGTTTGAAACCAGCTCTATCACTTATTAAGACAAATTACTTTACTAATGTCTCCATTTTCTCATCTACAGAGAGTAGATGGTCTAAGTTGAGCTCTAAAATCACTTCCTGCTGTGACACTCTTTGATTCTATTTTAGTTAAGGATTTAAATTAGAAGTCTTAAAAGGAGGAAGGACAAATGAAGGAAAATTGTATTCTTAATTCTTACCTAAATTGGGAAACCAGTTGCTGAGGTAGAAATGAAAGCAATTTTGGGGGGAAGAGACCACTTCATCTTAGAATTTGTGATACAAAAGAGAAAAGCCAGTAATACTCTGACATGCCCCCCTAAATAAATAGAGATTTCAAATGGATTGAAATCCTACAGGGAAAATCCACCCAGGAGAAAATGCTCAAGAGTAAAATTCTGAACCCATAAAGAGAAACCAATCAAGTGAGGAGGAAAAGTGAGATTTGTTTAGAGACTAATGTGGATGCACAGGGAATTCATTAATCAATTTAGATTTTAAAATGACAAATATAGGAGATGGAAGAAAGAGCAGGCAATAGAAGATGAATACAAAGCTGTGGTCCAGTCTTATAAAAATAGTGCCATGAATTCTAAAGCTCAGAATAAGCTAATGTTGACTAGGAAAGCAAAATGCAACAGATGTTGTATGCTTTATAAAAAGTTGTATTGAAGAAAAGAGAATCAAAGAAAGCAAATGATCTTTGTTTATGGTAGTTAGAATGATACTGATGACAAACGGAAGATATGCTTACCTCATTTTATTTCTTGATTCTCTGCCAAGTAAAATGATGCGGGAACTGCAGAGGACAAAACAAAAATGATTAATAGAGAGTTGATACTCAAAACAGAGTGTTAACAATAGTGAAATAACAAGAGAGCACCTAGCTGCTCTTGAAGTTACCTGTCCCAGATGAACCACAATTTACATTACAGTACTGAAAGAACTGGCAGGTGAGGGCAGTAATTACTGAAATATCATGAAGAATGAAGATAAACTGTAGGATTAGAGAAGGGAAAATGTCCAGATTTTTTTTTTTGGTGAGGCAATTGGGGTTAAGCATTTTTATTACATCTCATGCTATTCTGTATAAAATGAGAGATCTGGACAATAGTACATTTAATGGTTGGATGGTTGGGTCTAAAAAGTCATTATTTGCTTGAGGTCCCATAGCTAGCAAGTATCAAGTGTCCAAGGTTGGATTTGAACTCAGGTCCTCCTAAATCCAAGGCCAGTGTCCTATCTACTGCATCACATAGCTGCCCCTATAGATGTCCACATTTTTAAAGAAGGTAACAGCCTTCAAACTGTAGATCATTAGGACGTGACTTCAATTCCTGCCAAAATTCTTGAAAAGATGGTCACTAAATAGTCAACTCTTTTTTTTCAATTTTAACCAGTTTAATGGGAAAAGAGCCAAATCCCAATTCTGCTGCTTATTACCTATATGACCTTGGGTGAGTTGCTTAATCTGTCTGAACTGCAGTAAGCTTATCTGTAAAATAAAAGGCATGAACTTTATAAATTACCTCTACAGTCTCTTCTACCTCCAAATCTATGATCCTATGATTTAGAAAAGACCATAGTAATCCCCAGGAGCCACCATGGCTGTCAAGAAAAGGTCATGCCATCCCAAGTTTATTTCCTTTTTTTTGAAAGAGTTACTAAACTGGCAAATCAAGGGAACAGCATTAATACAAATTATCTAGATTTTAGCAAAGTGTTTTATTACATCTCATGCTATTCTGTGTAAAATGAGAGATCTGGACAATAGTACATTTACTGGTTGGATGGTTGGGTCTAAAAAGTCATTATTTGCTTGAGGTCAACTTGGAAGGAGAGCTTTACTGGAGGTCCTCAGGAAAATGGAGTTTGTCCTGTGCTAGTTAACATTTTTATCAGCGACTTATCTAAAGATAGAGGTAGTGTGCTTACTTATCAGATTTTCAGATGGCACAAAGTTGAGAATACTACAGTGGATGATAGAAGTAGGATTAAAAAGTATCTTGACAGGTTAGATTATTGATACCAAATTAATAAGACAAAATGTATTAGGGATAAAAGTAAAGTCTAGCAAAGATTCCAAGAACAACTTCAGAAGTATAAGATGGTGCATGCAATTTATATGAAACAGATCTGGAGACTTTAGTGGATTCAATATAATTCACCAATCTTCACCTGGAGTGTCATGTTCAATTCTAGATGATGCAATTTAGGAAGGGCATTCTTAAACTGAGAGCATTTAGGAGTGAGCAACTAGGATGGCGAGAAAATCTTTGTGTTGATGGCATGCAAGAATTGGTCATGCAAGAATCAGGGGAGAGAGGGAGTACATAATTATAGTTGTCTTCAAGAATTTGAAAGACTTTCACTTAGAAGAAGGACTAGACTTTTTATGTTTGACTCTAAAGGGCAGAATTAGAAGGAGTGGGCAAGAGGCAGCTAGGTGGCACAGTGGATAGAGCACTGGCCAGGAAGTCAGGAGGACCTCAGTTCAAATCCGACCTCAGTTCAAATCCGGCCTCAGACCAAACACTTGACACCTACTAGCTATGTGACCCCGGGCAAGTCACTTGACCCCAATTGCCTAAAAATTTTAAAAAAGAGTGGGTAAAAGCTGACGAAGCAAATATAGGCTTTAGCTAAGGAAAAACTGTCTAACAATTAAGAGTTCTCCCAAAGTAGAATGTACTGCCTTAGAGTTAATGGGTTCTTTCTCATTGCAAGACTTTGGGCAAAGGCCAGAAAATAACTTATCCAATATGCTGTGGACCATTTCTTCATAGGTTATACTTATGGCCACTCAATCTCTTCTGGCACTGATTGCCTATAAATAGGACACAAACTGTGGATTAATTAGAGCAATATGTAAGACCTACAATGCTTTTTTAGTGTCTGACAAATGTTGCTCCACTTTCCCTCAATTCCCAGTGCTGTGGTAATATGTGATGGCAATGTACAACCGTAATCTGAAGAAGTCTCATTCCAGGACTCTGACTGCGTTTCTAGTTTTGATCAAAATTCTAATTTAATGTGTCAGAATTTTTAATCCAAAATAACAGTTGAGGTAATTTTTAAAAATTTTATTAATTTATTTTGATTTATCAACAATCAATTCCACATGCTTTTGAGTTGAAAATTTTTCTCCACCTTCCTCCCCCCCATCCTCCCCAAGACAGAGCACAAGCTGACATAGGCTTTACATTTACATACCCTTTAACATATTTTCACATTAGTGAAGTTGTAAGTAAAAATTAAAACCAATAGGAGGAACCATCAGAAAGACAAAACAAAACTCAACAGAAGGTAAAAATAAGTGAGAGCGATTCGACTTCCATAGTTCTTTCTTTGGATGTGGACAGCATTTTCCATCCCAAGGCCTCTGGAGATGTCTTAGATCCTCGTAATGCTGAGAAGGGTTCAGTTTAACCATATTAGTCATCACATAACGTGGCTGTTACTGTGTACAAAGTCCTCTTGGTTCTGCTCACTTCACTCGGCATCAGACCATATAAGTCTTCCCAGGTTTTTCTGAAGTCAGCCTGTTCATCATTTCTTATAGCACAATAGTATTCCATTACATTCATATACCACAACTTGCTCAGCCATTCCCCAATTGATGGGCATCCTCTCAATTTCCAATTCTTTGCCACCACAAAAAGAGCTGCTATGAATATTTTTGTACATGTGGGTCCTTCTTCCATTTTTTTGATCTCTTTGGGATATAGCCCTAGAAGTACTATTGCTGGGTCAAAGGGTATGCACATTTTTATAGCCCTTTGGGCATAGTTCCAAATTATTCTCCAAAATGGTTGGATCATTTCATGACTCGGAGTCACCAACAATGCATTAGTGTTCCAATTTTCCCACATCCTCTCCAACATTTATCATTTTCCTGTTTTGTCATGTTGGCCAATCTGATAGGTGTGATGTGGTACCTCAGAGTTGTTTTGATTTGCATTTCTCTAATCAATAATGATTTAGAGCATTTTTTCATATGACTATAGATGGCTTTAATTTCTTCATCTGAGAACTGCCTGTTCATATCCTTTGACCATTTATCAATTGGGGAATGGCTTGTGTTCTTATAAATTTTTCTTAATTCAGTTGAGATAATTTATTATCTGTTACAAGATAATTTTCTCAATATTAAGAAAACAAGAAGGCTACACTCTAAAATAAATGTACATCAAAAGAACACAGTTTTGACTACTAAATAAACTATCCCCTCAAAATCATTAGAAACAATTTTAGGCAAAATTCTCAAGGCTATGTTAGTTTTTTAACAGCAAGAGTACACTTTTTCAGACTCTTATAGCATAGTTCAGTGTTTTTCATATTCTCAAATTACATATATTCTTCCTGAAAAGATTTATAATAGATTTTACCAGCACCAAAAGATACCACCTCTTTGAGACAGGTAAGATTATTCTCATCTTCCTACAATAGAAACATTATTTTGTAAATACCGGTTTTACCTAGATTCCCAGTCTTTTAAAATGCCCGTTTCCATGTTTTTCAGCAGTGTACTCATGATAAATAAACAGTGAAAGAGGTTTGTGACTATAATGTGCCCCTAAGAAATGGATTGAGGGTATCCTGATCATACTTCTTTGGACTTCCACTCACAAACAATGGAATGGATTTTAAATACATACACACACACACACACACACACACACACACACCCACTATGGAGTATTATTAAGATGTCATCAACAGATGGTGATCTCAGGAGCTCTTTTGAAATTCTTATTCAGCAAACAGAACCCTAATACAGGATAAGTGACTTGCACCAATAGCAAACCAGACTTTTTTCTCTTTTCTTAATATTCTGGTAATTCCATTTCAAAATGAACTGTTAGCTTTGAAAAACAGTAAGAACAAGAATTTCTCTTTCCTCAAAGAAGAACAAATCTTTTGAAAACTAAAAGGCAAGGTAAGTTTCATCCTACATAAGTAGCTTTGCTGGTATGGGGTAACTGTTTAGAATGACCACTTTATGAATTAGAAGAGGGTCTTATAGATATCAGTAGGTATAGTGATAAGAAAACTAACATGTAATTGAAATGTAAGAATATTATTAATTTGGTAAGTCTAATGATTTTTAACTTTGTATTCATGTGTTAAGATGAAAAATTTTGGAGTAGTGACAAAGATGTACATGCATAAATGGGGTAATATCTATCCACCTAGATACCACCATCTTTTCATGTAATTCAAACATACAGATTTTGAGAAAATTCAAGGATCAACCAGATTTTCATTAACCCTTTATTTATCCAGGAAAATCACCTGTTCCACACAAACGAATTTTCCAAATAACTTGAGTTTATCCTTTTAAATGCCAAAACTTGAGGTGGAAAGAAAAAAATCTTCCTAGAATATTTTAAATGTTTTGCTGCCTTCTTAACTAGAGGATACTGGATAGAATTTAACATTTTCTTAATGATTCAGGGATATGTTCACAATTCTTGGGGCACAAAGTAGGCACTTAATAAGTGCTTCTTGATTAGTTGGTTAATTATGATTCTCAGTGATTATTATTTGCTGAATTTAAAATGATGTCCTTAAGAACTATGTAGCTTAGGACTCTTTTCTTCTATGTTAAATTTTCACTGCTATTTTGTTTTTGAGTCTGGGTGTCTACTTTTTCTAGTTTTTCCATATCTTCTTGCCATTAAAAAAAATTAATGTGATTGAACCATAAGCATCAGGTCTGATAAAATCTTTTTGTTTAATGCTTTTGAAATGATAATCTAGGTATTTAGCTAAATGTGATTTATTCCTGTTTATGTAATTTATTTTAATTATTATTAAATTTAGGGGACCATATTCCTGTTTTTCCCTGTTATTGAGAAAATTATCTGTCTTCTCTTAATGCCACCTCACTTTGAAAAGAACTATATTCTGTCTTAACATCATTATGTTTTTCTGGATTTACCCTGATTCCCCCCTCCCACTCTGGCTTAGAGAGACTTCCTTTAGAACAAAGAAAAAGTTAAGCAAAACCAACCAATTCAGAAATCTTGGCATCACACAGTTTATACAATATTCCACATCTGTAGTCATCCATCTTTCCAAGAGAAAAAGGCTGTATATTTCTTCCTTCCTCCTCCAGGTCTAAGGTTGGCCATTGCAATTACACAGTTCAGTCCTTTGTTTTAGTGTGCTTTTTCACTGTTACTTTTCATCCATCTCACTAACCCTTCTTCCTGCTCTGACATCTCCCCACTCTCACCCACCTACCTCTTCAGTTTCCTGGCTCTAATGTGTCCTTGGCTGGAAGGCCAGATAACCAGCATGTTTGAATTCTGAATAATGAGATTTGAATAAACATCTTTGAGGCTTTCCTTTTTGTAAAAGTACATGATTTTATTTAGTATTAAACTTAGTCCCAGCTCTCTTGGCTAGCTAGAAATCCCCTTTTTTGACATCAGTAGCTGAGTAGACAAGGAAGACATTGAGAAAATCAAATTGATTCTGATTCCATTTTGAGTTTATTCTATTCTATATCACCACCACCATTTATTTATAACTACCTAAAGTCCCATTCCTTTGCCTTTACATTCAGTTCAGAAATCACAGGTTCAAAAGTTGTTTTCCTCTCTAAGTTTCATTGTTGTTGTTCAGTTGTTTCAGTTGTGTCTAACTCTTTGTGACCCCATTTGGGATTTTCTTGGAAAAGATACTGGAGTGGTTTGCTGTTTCCTTTTCCAGCTTCTTTTACAGATGAGGAACTGAGGCAAACAAAGTTAAGTGGCTTGCCCAGAGTCACATAGCTAATAAGTGTCTGAGGCCAGATTTGAACTTAGGAAAGTGAGTCTTCCTGACTCCAGGCCTGGAACTCTTATCAACTATACCCACTAGCTGCCTCAAGTTAAGTTTGAAAGTCTAGTTTCCCCATTAAAATAGTTTAATTAAAAGAAGCCTTCTATCTTAAGTTTAAGAGTTCAGTTTCCCTATAAGTTACTTCTAGTTGAAAGAAACCTGTGATTTCTACACCACTGACTGTCCTTAGATAATTAGTGGAAATTTGTTATCTCTTAGGTTCAGAAATTTAGCTTTCCTGTGAATCACTCCATGTCAAGGCAGTCTGTTATCTCTGTCCCACTAATAAGCAGATAAACTCATCTATCAACCTTTCCTAACAGCAGGATGAAAAGAGAGGTTGTTGCTAGCCCCAGATGTTTTGCCAGTCATACTGTTTTTGCTGCCTATGATGCTGCAGGCTTCATAACCAATTATATTTTTCCCCATCTATGAGGTTTCTGACTTAGTAACTAAACACTTAGTTTTTTCTGATTTTTGGTGGCTCCTCCTTTTGCTATAAAAATGATTTGTCAGGCCTCACTTGAGGTTTTTTAGCTTGCTGAGAAGCTGTAAGACCCATTTATTAGTAATTGCTAGTCTTACCGATAAGGGTAGTGAGGTGACTCTGTGGATAGAGTTCTGAATCTGGAGTCAGGAAGACCTGAGTTTAAATTTGGTCTCAAACACTTACTGGTTGTGTGAACCTAGGCAAATCACTAAACCCTATTTGCCTCAGTTTCCTTATCCATAAAATGAACTGGAGACGGAAATGGCACACCACTCCAATATCTTTGCCAAGAAAACCCCAAATGGGGTCACAAAGAGTCAGACATGACTGAATTGAATGAATAACAACAAAAGTCTTATCAATAAATTGATCATGCATGGAGCTTTGTGCCGCAGTCTACCTTATTTTCAATCATGACAATATCCAGAGTGAAGGAGATAATTCATCAAGTATGGTGAATTTTTATTTTTTCATAGAGAGTTTTTATATTAAGAACAGTGATAATAGATCACATTTATACAATATTTTAAGTGATTTCATCACTATCACTCTGGGAAAGAAGTAATGCATGTATTATTACCTTTACTTTGTAGAGTTAAAAATAATGGAGGTTTAGAGAGAGAGATTTTGTCTATGCTCACATGCCTTGTAAGTGCTGTATCTGAGATTCAAACCTTCATCTCCTGACTCTTCATTCAGGACTACATATGTAGTATATGTATTATATATATATTATATATATATATATATATATATATATATATATATATATATATATATATGTATATGTATATACACACACCTATATACATCTATATAACAATATATACATGCATGTGTATGTATGTATGGGCCTTTGTTGCCACATTTGAATATGTAGTTCTTCAAACTTCTGCAGTAGGAGCAGCGAGTTAGTGCAGTAGAGAGTTGGACTTAGAGTCAGGAAGACCTGAGTTCAAATCTCAGCCTTAGATACTCACTACAGTTATCTCTTCCACATTGCAAGTATAGGTGGTTGAGGGCATGGTGCCACCTAGTTCTGGAAAATCCATGTAAAATTTTTTGGCCCTCCATACCAGAGAAGAAATCTGATTTTCTTATTTTTCTTTTGTTGAGTGTTTACATTATTGTCAATTTTGGGTTGATATTATATAATACTATACATATATTTCATGCATTTCTGAGTTTCTAAACTTTTTTCTATGTCATCTGCTGGCCTTTGCATGTCATCTGTGGCTTCCTCAAAACTCCCCAAAAAGTTCCCATTTAATTTTTTATGCCTCCCCATGATATATCAAAACCACAATGGGAAAGGTTGTGATGGGGAAGGGATAACTGTGGTTGTGTGACCCTAGACAAGTCATTTAACCTGTGTCTTCCTCAATTTCCTCATCTGTAAAAAGACACTGATTACAATAGCACCTACCTCCCAGGGTTGTTGTGAGGATGAAATGAAATAATATCTGTAAAGCACTTTGTAAACATTAAAGCTTATACAATAATAGCAATAGCTATTATTAAAATTGGCAGCAATTTTGGCCATAGTTTTGAAATGAAGTATTTTTTAAAAAAAATGCATTTTATTTATTGACTCCTTTTGTCTGTTCAGATATCTTCTTTGCCTATTCCACATTTCTCTCTATTTGAAATAGTCGAAGTTGCCAGATAAGTAAACTTCAAGTGAAGTGTTGCTGTTAAAAAACAACAACCACAACCACAACAACTTGTAATAATTTCAGTAATTCTTGCAGTGAATTCGGCAAGGTATGGCAGTGAGGTGGATCAGTGGATAGAGTGCTAGGCCCAGAGTCAGGAAGACCTGAGTTCAAATCTGGCCTCAGATACTTACTAGCTGTGTGACTCTGGGCAAGTCACCTAACCCCACTTGTCTCAGTTTCTTCATCTGTTAAATGAGCTAGAGAAGGAAATGACAAACCACTCCAGTACCTTTGCCAAGAAAACCCCAGATGGGGCCATGAAGAGTTGGACGCGACTGAAATGACTGAACCACGACAAGGCAAGGTATAAAGGCATATTGAGCTTCCATGACGGGTCTGATGAGTCTGACATTTACATAGCTTTAGAATTTATAAAGCCTTATATGTTATAAATTTATAAAGCCTATATGTTATTGGAACCTTAAAACACATTTGTAAGGTCGGTGCGAGTATTCCATTTTACAAATTCAGAGACTGTGTGGTTTTAGAAAAGTTAAACCAGGATTACACAGCTGGTAAGTCTAGCTTACTGAGGTAAGATTCAAACTCAGGTCTTGTTGATTTTCGGTTAATTAGGTTATCAACTGAGTGCTGCTATGTGGGATTTGAACCTTTATCTCCTGACTCTTCATCGAGTACTACATATGTACCATATATACATATATGTGCTGAATATATACCAGATCAAATTTATAGATCATGCAAAGGATACGTGGCTCCTTGAATGCCAGAACCAAAATTCAAATAAAAACCCGATGAACTAGAACAATGGGCCCACACCAACCAGATTAAGTTTATCAGAATAAAGACTCATGTCCCATATTTAAGTCTAAAAGTCATTTTACAGAACTAGATAAGGGAGACATAGTTTTTGAACAGTTTGATAGAGGGATTTTGATT